TTAATATTTTAGACCTTGACAATTCATGGTCAATCTTCGATTGATTCGCTAATTATGTTTCACATTTCATCGCTTTAAAGAAAGAACCCAATCATAAATTCATAATTTTTCATGAAATTATATCTATTTCAATATTTTTAAAAAATATTTTTCATTGCCTTTGCGAATTCTATTATTATATTGATCTTTACAGAGCATGCAAATACAACAATTAAATCTACTAAATCTTTTTCCAAGACTTTAAAAGTGTAAATCCTCAAAAAATATAAAATTCAATTAAAAAATAATTGTTTTTTTTTTTTATCTTACATACTTCAACAGAAGTAAATTTTTGTGAAATAAAAATGCATAAAATATTTGAGTTTTAGCTTTTCATTTGTTATAGTTGAAGGCTTCAGACGAAATTTGCAGGCGTAAAGTTTGAAGATATTCATTAAAATTTCGAATAAAAGAGAATGAATTGGATTATTTATTGAAGTTCTGTGGCGCAGCTGCTGTTCACTGGCTGCAAATGGCAAATGCAATAAAACGAAATTAAATTGCTATTTTTGCATACAGACGGGCAGACACACACACTCATACACACACAGACACACATGTAGCCATAAATTGATATGAATCCTTTTGGCGAATCCTTTGACAACAGCTGGCGGCAGCAGCAGCCGCAGCAACAGCAACAACTACAACAACAACAACAACATAAATGAAATAGTTTTCTACATGAAGCTAATTGCTTGGCGCGTTTATTAAAATGCATAAATTAATTGAAGAATTTGGAGTTTTAGAGCACCTTTATGAGGCATTTGGCCAAAAGGGTTCCACGCACACACACCCACGGACCTTTGTGAGCAAAAGCAATTAGACATTAGGCAACGGCGTCGCATGTGTGCGATACGTGTGCGTGTAAGCCCACGAAAACCCTTGACAAATACACTCGAAATGACCGCAATTATGGAAGAGAAACCCTCCTAGAATATACCCTATACATATACATATGTATACCTCCTTTGGCCGCAAATCAGCGCAATTAATATTAAGTGGATTAACATTTAATGACCAGTGCAGGCCAGCAGGGTCGCAGAGCCCATTTCGGAGTCGTAGACCCATTGTCCCCTGCTCCATTGCATCATAATCGCACTCTTAACTTAACCGTTATGCGAGCATCGTTGCCTTTATGGTCGCCATTTGGTTGTTGGCTGTCATATTCTAATTACAGCATAACACGCGTCTATTGCCCAGATTTTGATGACCTCCGACCCATAATTATATAGTACACACTATCGCACAAAATTGAGCCAATGGACGTGCATTTTACGTGCAAGTGGTCCATAGACGAAAATATAAACGAATAAAATCCCAATTGAATGGGCGTCACTAATTGATAAATGGCTCTTCTGCGTGGCTGCTTCCCATATAAAGTATGTCTCTGTGTGTGTGTGTGTGTGTGTGTGTGTGTGTGTGTAAGCAAGTGTGAGAGAGGGGAAACAGTCATGAAAAATATTTACAATAATTGCAATTCGCATCGAAATTAAAGATAAGGAAACTGCGTTGCAGCGTCAGAGTAAAACACGTCTGCCTGAGGCAGACTGGGATTAAGAGAGGCAGTAAATGAGAGTGAGTGAGAGAGAGAGAGAGAAAGATAGAATGTCTAGTACGTCTTATATGTATAATAGCAACAGAGGCACTCTTTACCGTTAGTCAGCTTTGGCTTAGTCAGCAGCCAAAATGGCTGCCCCAGAGGAGAGCATGGCCTCCCTCAGCCAACCGGAAATCGTGTGCAACGGGCGATAAATCCCGACGTAAGCAAATAGAAATGAAAAATATGACGTGTTTCACTACAATGAAACGTGGCTTTAACACTACTTCAGTTGAAGTACCGCCCGATAAGATATAGACTACATTGTTATGTAGATCAGCAATTCATCAATTGCAATGCATCAAAATAGTCTTATCATCGGAACTATAGAGAAAGAGAGAAAGACCTAAAAAATCTTTTAAAATGCCACAGATTAAAAATATCTGATATAACATGTTATAGATATCTATCAAGTGCAATATATCATAAAGTAAGAGAGCAGAAGTACAAAATTCCTTAGCTTAAATATACCAGATATGACGCACATGTAGGCCAATCTAGTACAATAAATTATAGACAATTTTCGGCTTAACAAATTACATAACCCAGAAGGCAACAGAAGTGCTTTCAAAAGAAAGCTTAACTAGAAGATTCCTGGCCTGATAGTAAATAATTAAATACGTTTATTAATAAATTAAATTCTTTATTGAGAAAGCACTATTCCCATCTCACGTATGCATATAGAAAACATTTCGCCTTTGTAGATATTTCTTTGTCCCATTTCACAACAATGAAAGCGAATTAGTATTTGCATCGATCAAAGATCCAGCCGCGTCGCTCGCACTCGAATTTGTCATATAGTATAGTCCAATTTGTGTATACTTAGTTGCTCTAAATGCCGCACTTGACGCTTTGTAATCAGAGTCGCATTCAAAGTACACCCGCAGTTCGGCTCGACTCAGCTCGAGCGTTATCAGCTAGACGAAGAGCAAGTAGACAGCTGTGATTTGTTTTCAGAATTTTTTGCCAGCCATTTTATCTGCATGCTAAACATGAGGAAAGAAAACATGATATACTGCGTATATTGGTTGACTTTATTTCTTTATTTATTTAGCTTGGTAACATAATTTTTTAAAGATATATTTGTTCAAGCGAATGCTGCTTACTTAAACTTTATCACAAATATGTGAGTGGGTGTGTATGTGCATATAGTATGTGTGTGTTTGTTGATGTAGTAAATAATTCAATAGTCGATAGGAAATCAAATGTTACTTCATTTTGTTTTTGTTTTGCTTTTGTGGCTGCTGCGCTTCAATTTATTATTATATTAAACACAACTAAAATGACAATTTTAATTTACAGAACGCAGCGTTTCGGGGGTTTATTTTCGTTTTGGTATCTTTGTAATACTAGCAAATTAACAGATGAGTGAATTTTGATAAGAGTTGCGATAGAGAGGAGATAACTGCTTATTGCTTCTGCAGATACTCGTCGAACAGGTAGACCGAAAGGGCGGGCTCGCGCACGCTCACCAGCTTGGACAGATCGTTGGCATAGCCAGAGAGGGTGCGGACAGATGCTGCCTGCTTGCTCAAGAAGTTCTCCTGCAGATAGTGGGCCATCTCGGGATCGTGGATGCGGTTCTCAGTGGTGCCGTGGGTGGCGCTGGTGTGCACATGAATGGCGCCGTTGGTCAGCTCCTTCTCGTTGTCCAAAGCACGTGCCAGAGACTCCAGTTCATTCAGATGCACCTCTGGGGGCTGGGCAACACCCTGCTGATGGGGCTTGCTAAAGTCGACAGAGCCACCACGACGAGTCACTTGCTTGATGAGGGCAATGGTATCATCGAAAGCGCGATCGGAGAGACCCTGATAGAGCTTCTGGAAGCCGGGGCGGTTCATCTGGTACGAGTTGAAGTGGGTGGCCATCAGCAGATATTCATATGATTTCTTCAGCTGCAAGTGGATGTAGTCCTGCATCTTATGCTCCAGGTGTCCAATGGCAGCATAGCGCGCATTACAATTTGCCACACCACCTGAGAAGCAACAAAGAGAAGGTCAAATTTTTAGCTGTGTGAGTTGGGCTTCCCTAATTATAATGAGGAAGTGTTTTTGCTTACTTTCGCCTGAGAAAAATGCCATGAGCGCTTGTTTGTTTATTTTTAAAAATAAGATATTCAGAAAACAATACACAGTTACAGTTAAAACCGGATCAACTGCTCATGCACACACACACGCACACAAACACACGCTCATAATAATAATCATTCAATCGCTCTCTTGCACTCTCTTCCATTCGTGCGCTCATTCATTCTCTTATTTCATACAGTATTTTTTCTTTTTGTACTCACCGTTGGCACTCTGTCCGCAAGCAGACTGAACGTCTACTTGGCAGCTCTGCTCTTGGGCCTGCGCAAGAGCGCAGAGGCCCGCAACCAAAACGAATGCAATGAAATATTTCATTTTATTTGTTTTCACTTTCTAGAATAAGAATAAATAGAATTTCACAATTAGACGTATTTTGAATTTCAAAACCTGTCACTCTGTTTCTAGTTAATGTGATTCAAAGAAAAACAAAGCAGCGACTTTTGCGTCGTAGAGTTTTCTTGAACATTCTTTCTCTTTCTCGCGAACGATTTTTCAAGTTGCTTGCAACTAATTTGTTTTCAATAGTTTAAATATATTATTTTTACACTATTTATAATCGTAGCAATTAGCCAACAATTGAAGTGTACCACTTACTTTAAATAGACGCGTTAAATTGAATTAAAAGTTGTTCTGCTTTGATTTTCGTGTTTTCTTACGTGCTGCTTGTTGGAACTCAATTTCTGAACTGCTGTTTATAGCGTTGCGTTTGTCTCGTTTCTATGCCTCGGCAGCACCGCACTCAGTGTGCCAGTGTGCGTGAGTGCGCGAGTGTGAGTGCGAGATAGAGAGTGTATGGGTATGTTGTTTTGCACTCGTCGTCTCTCCGGGGGATTTCGATGTCAGTCAAACATGGCTCAGGCAATATGGCCGCGTCTCTGTTGTTGTTGTTATTCGTATTGTCATTGCGGTTGTTTTTCTTTGTGACTCAGGCACTCACAAGTTGCTTGAGTTCTCAATGCTGAATAGAGTTACCAGGCTGTTGAAAGTTCTTGCATAAATTTGAATCTTCCTATGACTAGAAATTGACTCGAGCGAACCTCAGTTATACGTGCATTGAATTCAAATTAATTTTAGTAAGGAGAAACATGTATAAGCAACCCACGTGTGATAAAATCTATATCAAGCTGTAACAATGACTTCTCAATATTGACAAGCAATCTAATGCCATAAATTTTCAAAAATAAACGAAAGTAATCAAAAGGTATCCGGTTATTACATGTTTTGTTATCATTTGACATGACTCTTATCAAACATCATTTATGCTATGACTACTCTGCATTAGTTGTCATGTTCGCACTGATAGTCAATCAATATCTTGATTGATCCTACAATATCCATGTTTCTGCTTCACGTTAGGTATTAAACCATCAAATTTTATTTATATTAAACAAAGGTGCATGGCAACCCATGACATGAGCAGACAAAACTAAAACAAGAACAAGGAGTCGGTTTTGCCATACCCTAGACGGTAGACCATACATCATATACATGCATAAAAATAATGATTCATTCTTATTATGTATTATTATATACATACTATACCAAGGCATGTATTTGAAGCTAAACAATTTGTTACAATTCATAAAGTATTTCATCTTATGTCTAAGTTCATCGTATGTCTAAGTTAATATACCCATTTTACAGGGTAAATGTGTAACAAAGAACAGCTGACTGAGCAGCGTCTGCGGTCAAACAGCCATACGGCCATATTGGAGTTAGGCTAAATTCAGCAACGATAGTGCTGTCGAACAGAGGAGGTTTTGTATTGAGGACGTGTGGAAGTAAGTGTGGTAAATCAAGTACATACGTCTATCAAATGGTATATATTATATTTTCAATGCGATAGCAACAATAACAAACCGTACGACGACATATTGAATTGATAAGAGTGAACTCACACGCACACACAGAGGCTCACATACAGCGTACACGTATTGCAAGTACTCACACACCGCTCTTTGTGAGCGAGAGCGACCAACGACGAAGCGTTTAAAAGTGTTTTGCTCGACACAGGCACCGACAGTTTGCATTCACATAGCGAAGGCGCGTAAAGCAGAAGAATTACGAAAAATTCCAAGTACGTGTGAAAAGTTTGTCAGGGTATATAAAACGGTATCATAAAGTACCGGAAAGATCAAATAATCCAAAAAGTCCAATTGAATTGAAAAAGCAAGCTTTGCCTTCTATGCCAGTGTGCGTAAAGGTAGCTTTGATAGACAATTGAGACGATAAGAGATCGCCTAGAAACTTCTCTATTTAAAATTGGTCGAGCAACCGAATTGGTTCATTTTCATTTGTGCATTTAGACAGAGCACGTAAACAGGAACTGTTTGCATTGATTTATTAACTGAAAGTGATATAATTTGTTCTGTGATTTTGTGTAAAGACATCAACATCAACAACAACAACAACAAGAGGAACCCGAAGAATAAAATGATGAAATTCTGTGCGAGTTTTTGTCTACTGACCGTTCTGGCCGCCATTAACATGGCCCAGGCAGACAATTTGCAATGTAAGTAATTTAAATATATAATATTTAGTAGTTGCTTCATTCTTTTAAACAAAACAAAAATATTTTGAAAAAAAACCAATAAAATTCGACGCAATTCCATACAATGGCGACGAACTGTTCGTCCAAACAAAGAGAGAGAGAGAGCGTGAGTGAGAGTTTATTAAGAGCAGCGGGGCGTGCGCACACGGAACTAAGAGAGCGCTAGGTCAGCTGTTGTGCTGGTCTGCTCTCTTCATCGTATAATCTGGAAGTTATTCAAATCTATAAATATTAAACCAATTTAACGAACTTTCGCTAACTTTGGTAGCTTTATGTAACAGATGAACTTAATTTCCATATATTGTATGTGTGAAGTTAAATTTCTGTTTTTCGCGCCCTCAGCAATAATTCCCGTATTATGTTTTTGTTGTTTTGCACACGGCTCGAGCTCAAGCTTGAATGTGCGAGTGAGATAGAATTAGCTGGGTTGGACTAGAAGCGGGCATTTTTGCACACGGCACGAAACCAAAACAAATGCCGTTGCTATGGCGACACTTGAGCACGTTATCGCAATGCGCAGAGAACAAAAATATGGAGATGAGAACGAGAGAGCGAACTTAGGAAATAACTGCATTTTACTTTTGCACACGCTTTACTTGTTCCAAGAAACATTAGTTTGCATTATACACATACATAAATGCATACATATGCAATGACCACTGCAGATTGCGTAATGGCAACGCTAACCACCGCCCGCACCCCTTAGCACCCAGAGATCAACAGTCAAGTGTTATGCAGGACTTGAAAAATAAAAAGCAACAAGAAATCGAAAGTCAAGAAACCTCAAAGTGTAGGTGCTGCTTATGAAATAAGCATAAATTGTTTGATATATGTAATTTGTATGTTGTATATTTATGTTAATGACTTAATTTCAATTAATCTCCCTCTCTATAGGTAACATCAAGTCAAATGCTGCATTCAGAGGATGGCCGGACATGAAGGAGCCCTGCATTAGGAGCATGCGCGAGCAGATCCAGAAGGAGATCAATGCCTCCATGCAGTACCTGGCTATGGCTGCCTATTTCTCGAACGATACCGTCAATCGTCCTGGTTTCGCCGAACACTTCTTCAAGGCTGCTAAGGAAGAGCGCGAGCATGGAGCCAAGCTGATCGAATACCTGTCAATGCGTGGCGAGTTGACCCACACCGTGAAGGACCTAATCAAAGTATCGGTAAGTAATTTGACAAACTTCTTAGTAGATTTTCTGGGACCTTTACGATTGTCCTCTTATAGCCTGTCAAGGTAAAGAACTGGTCTGGACTGTCTGCTTTGGAGGATGCCTTCAAGCTGGAGACCGAGGTCACCAAGTCCATTCGCGATCTGATTAAGACCTGCGAGGGCAACTCCAAGAAGGCTGATGATAACGATTACCATCTGGTTGACTACCTGACCGGCGTCTATCTGGAGGAGCAGCTGACCGGCCAACGCGAACTGGCTGGCAAGATCACCACATTGGAGAAGATGATGTCCTCCCAGGGAGAGTTGGGCGAATTCCTGTTCGACAAGAACATGTAAACAACATCCCCAAATTCAACTCATTGTCTAGCAAGCTATTCATAGTTTATACTGTGCTCCCGAAAGATATCTATTTAAAATTAACTGTTACTAGCCTCTGCAGCAGATACTCCATCGCATCAAGTATTTTGTTATCCACACGATCATTTTTCTTTGCCAAAATTAGTTTATAATTAAATCATACTCAAAAGTAAAATACTTTCTTTTTTTATCGTTTGTTTCCGAATGAAAATCAAGTATTGGCCAAATAAATATATATCACGTTCTGTTTGAATTCAATTTCATTCCAAGGCACAGTCAAATCCACGAGTTCTTTTCTTATCAATCCCGCTCTCCAGCTGGGGCTTAGCACTAATCAGGCATCATACCTTTATCAATTGCTACAAGTATGACAGTCAAAAGTTGTGATTTATTTACAATATTTGTTACGTATAACTGTTTCGTTATCTCGCCTCGAGTACGCGTGCTCAAAAGTTCAAATCGACGTTCTACGGCTCCGGGAAAATTCCCGAGTCATCAAATCATTGCAAATTGAATGATCTACATTTAGATATAAACAAGTACATGATATACACAAATATATATATATTATAAAACGTATATTTTTCTGTCAATTAGTCAATAATAATACTAACTTAATAAAGACTACGATCAAACCAAGTTTTATTGTCTTTCACTTATACAATATAATTTTATATTTGGGAAGGTAAGTATTTGGAAAGTGTAAAAAACTGTTTATTCTTGGAATTTTTTGTATAAAAACCACATTTGTAAAACTTTGTTTTTCATTCGTAGCGCATGTAGAATTTTAACTTATTTGTTATTGAAAGCGAAGCTCATTTCTTAAAAATAATATTGAAAGCTGAAACAGAGAGATTATTAAAATTGATCTTAGTCTTGATTTTAATCTCCGATCTTGGTCGTCGTCTTGCTTGGTCTCGCGCATTTGGATCTTGGGTCTTAGGTCTTGGGTGTGGGATTTTAAGATTTGGTCTTGATGTTGGCTTTGGTGTTCCCTCTAGGTTCTTGGGTCGTGCGTCTTATCTTGTAAGTCTTCGGACTTGGGCCTTCGGTCATGCGTCTTGGATCTTGCTTCTGGTCTTGGGCTTGTCCTTTGGTGTTGGGTCTTAGGTCTTGTGTCTGATGTCTTATGTTTTGGGTCCTGAGCTTGGGATTCTTTAAGTTAATGTGAGTCAGTGGATTCTACCTGAATGATTATTTCAAATCCTGACAGAATCAATTAGTGCAGTTGAGGCACATATTTCAGCTACTCGAAAGCTCAAGAACTATACAAAATGTTTCTTTTATACTTTCCTATATTTTCTTTTAGTTAAATTTGTCATCATATCTTCTCATTATAATTTTTTTTAAATGTCCATCAGTTAATACGTGTAAAGCTGTATGGAACAAGTGTTTTGGCTGTCCATTGAGGTGTTTTATGGTCACGTATTAGCCATCCGAATGGAAATCTAATCTGTAGAATCACATTGTGTATTCCATTTGATAGACGTCCCATTGGCTCTATTGACCCTTTCATGTAGCTGAAAGCGCTGAGGCTAATCTGATTGGGGAGTACAAAAAGAAAAAAGGATGCGAGAGAGTCGGACATGCTTCGGTTGGCCATAAGGAATAATTCATAAGTCACTTGTAAAAATGTCCCAGCAGAACAAGCCCAAGGGCTAACGGCAATCGGCCAACCCCATCCAACTCAATCGAACTAATGTGTGTTCACCCTTTCGTCCTGCTTGGTGATTGACAGGACATGGCATGCATTGAATTATGATAAATTGTGGCAACTGTCAAATGGCTCTGGATGATGTTTCTTTTCTCTTGATGCTGTTGTTGTCCTGACTGCATCCTGCCTCCTTTCCATCCCCCATCCTGCGAAGCGTGACCAAGGCGCACTGCTATGTCTTGTCAAAGCCACGAAATGGGTTGTGCATTTTAAACAATTTCATAAGCTAATATTTGCACAGATGTACCGCAAGCCTTTTAAACTCGTCCGCCCGGACAATGGGTTGCAAATTTCTTGCTAAAATTCAAGCGCAATTTGAGCTGAGTTCGCGCCGGGTCGGGGCGGGGTCAAAGTTCTGTCCGGCATACAAATGGACACACTATCAATCCTGGCCAAGCGCCACAAATGCGCTGATAGCAACTTTTCCCATTCGACACGCTTTTTTGCTCTGCTCATCATTTTTATTGCAAGTGTTTTTTTTCTGTCTTTCTTTTCTTAGCATGTGTTTCTATACTCGTGCAAGGCGTGAAGTGAGTGTATTCGTTATTGGCTGTTTTCAGCTTGTCAAGAAAGTCTACAGGAAGAGTGACTCGAAATTCCCAAATTTCTATATATATATATATATATATATGCTATATTCTTGGCAAAACGAGATATTTGTAATAGGGTCGCTAGGGTAGATAGATGGATAGATAGATGTTTGTATGATAGATAGATAAACTGACATATGGAAAGGTAGATACATATATATATATGAAAAATGGATAGATAGATTGCTAAATAGATAGATGGTTATATATCAATAGATAGATTGATAGATACACATACAAGCATATAGATGATAGACAGATGTTTGTATGAACTGAAAGATTTGATTTGATAGATGGAGAGACATACATATATAAACAGATATAAATAAAACTTGGAAAAATGTATGGATAGTTATGTGTATAGATCAGAAGACCGCAAATGCTTAAATCTCATGCTGATATCAATTGTGAACGAGTATTATGTAGTTAGTTACAGTCGACGTCTTTTTATGTTTTTCTCATATTTTCTACTCATTTTCATCAATTTTTTTTTGTGGTTAGTGATTTATTTCCTGATAGCACAGGAGGATAAAAAAAAAACACAAAAACTTGTGCCGCTTATCACATTGTCATTTGTTGTGCCTGTTGACAAATTTGCAACGGGCGACAGTCGCCGTAGCCAACCCTCGCCCCACTCACGCTCGCTCAATAGGCACATCATGAAAATTGTGGGAAATGGGAAAATGCATTTGGTACAGCACGAAAATCCTTTTTATTGCGCCTGCCTAACGTTGACTGACAATGTCTGTTCCATTTGATTTAGGGCGTCGGGTCGAGGACTGCTTCAGCTGCTGCTGCTTGGCACCGCAGGACATCAACAGGACACTCGCGTATTTCATATCCTGGCTGTGGCTTTGTCTTCAACTCATTTTGGCTGCCAACTAGCAGCACTTTCTGCCCGCTCCTGCCCCGCTGTTTGCCTTTCACACTATAAATCTTCGCAGGACTCGTGAACTATGACAGCCATGGCGATTGCCGTTAAGCAAGTCTCTTAAAACCGGTTCTCAACTTTTGAGAGAGTTGCAGTTTCCCCGATAGTAGCTATCTAGCTGGCATTTCATTCACAAACTTATTTATACCCTGTCCGCAGGGAATGTGGGGTATAATGCCTTTATTGAATGCGTATGCAAGAGGAGAGACCTAAGGGGGAATAGAGAAAGAGTTCTGGTAGATTCTATAAAAACTATATATGCTTGCAGTCATGATCAACAGTCGAGCTGATCAATCTTGTCTTTTTGTTTGTCCGGCCGTGTATCTATAAGGCTGTCTTTTTTTTGTCTTGCAATCATTCTCACTTTTCTTAATTGAAGCTTCTTATCAAATGCGCATTTATCTCGCTTCAAATAGTTGTTAAGCATTTGGCTTAAGCACACGTCAGTTTGTACTAATCAAATGAGGTTGTCAAGCAGTTTGATTAAAATTCTGCAGACATGGCCAAAAGGCGCCCCGCTCCCCCCCACTCGCCCCGATTGCAAGGAATGTCTGCTCACATTCTCGCATTGGCAGTCGGAATGCTAAAGCGTTATTGAAATGTCTTAGCAGCTGTCCAAACAAACTCACCCTCTTCGCCTGGCAACCCCTTCAGGCGTCTGCTGATTTAGCATATTGACTGCTCCAAGGAGCAACTTATACAAGATTTATGGGGGGGCGACAGCAGAGATAAAAAGGATTCGTGGTGTGACCCACGGCCAGGACGGATGCGAGCGAGTGCAATAAATTTGATTTGCATATTAGGACACACACACACAGCAGCAGCCAGGACAAGGCCAGGACATGTACAGGACCGTGGGGTAAAAGCATTTCGGGCACGAAATCTTACTTAAATTGGGAATAAATCATTAAAAATATGTGTGAGGACTCCTTTGTCCAGTTAATGGGCAGGAGCTTTAGCAACAATCTCAAGCATTTGGCCAACGGGGGAGATCTTCTAATTCCCTTTGATTTATAAAGATAACGGCACATTGTCATGTGACCACATTTGTGTTCGTTGTTGTTGTTGCTTTTAGTTAAGATCACAAACAAATATGACTTATGCCAAAAAGTTTTCTAATTATGCATGCTCAGACTTACGAGTCCTTTGGGGCATGCCTCGGACACTTTTTAGCTGACCAACTGAAGGCGAAAGTTTTCATGGCTGACATTTTTGATAGAGATAGAGAACGACTGATGGAGAAAGAGAGGAGCAAGCGAATCAGAGCTGCCTGTCTGTGTGTGTGTTGTGTTTATGGCACACGCCGCAGTTCAATGGCCACAAATATGCGGCCAGAGAGCGATTGGTCAGGTTCAAAGGCCAAACTGATTTGCCTGCCAAACTGCAAACTCCGAGCTGTAAACTTCTTCTTCGGTCTGTGAGTGCATTAAAAGCCAAAAGTGCAGCGTCAGTCAAAAGTGGGTTTCAAATAGGGATATATACATATATGTATGTGTGCGTGTATGTGTGTGTGTGTGTGGGAATATGTGCGGACTCTAGGCTGCCGCCTCCTGGCTGCCAGCTTCCCATCTCGCTGTTTGATTGCTTGTCGCGTAGTTATGCGGCAGACATGGCTTGCTTTTGATTTAAGCGCATTGTTTGGGTTAAATATTTGCCATGCCGGCCACGCAGACAATTGCAGACATGCCACGTACCACGCAGCCACAGCTGCAGTCAACAGCTAAGTACGCACTCTCCCATTCTTTGCCTCAGTCTCCGACTCTGTCTCTGTCTTTCCCTGTTTGATTTCCGCTACTCGACTGACTCTCTCTCTCTCTCTCTCTCTCTCTGTGTATGTGTACACAAACACCCGCCCACCCACACATTCAGTGCTTGGTAAAGCCAAACAGCTTAAACTTCACACGCAGACACGTCCATGTCTGCTCCTAAGTGCGTTGCGG